AGTTCTTGCAGGTTCTTCAGATCAAGAGTAATGTGGGAAAGACCTGGGGGCCCCTTGAGTTATTTACTCAAGACTAGATTCGTCTTGAGTAAGCCTGACCACAACTAAACGAGCTCTCAGAGGTGGGGCTGGGAGGGGGCGCTGGGAGTTCTCAGTGTTGCTCCCATCAGGACCACTGTGGTAAACTTCAGCTGTCTTTCCTGAGAAACAGTGTGGAAAAAGGAGAAACACAAAAGCAACTGGATTAATCACTAGAATATTTTAAAAGAAACAGTGACTCTGAATAGAGTCTTAACACACTTTCTATCCCCCTTCACAGCGCAGCAGAGATTGCCACATTCATAACGGGCACATTTAAAGAAAACACCTTCTTCGTGAATACTGGGGGGGGACGGAGAAGGGCCTCTCATTTTCCCTGCTTCTTATCTGATACCACAGGTAAAGAGAGAGAGACGGTAACAAAAATGAAAGCAGAGAAATAACAAATCCAAGAGAAAAATAATCAAGAAATTACAGCTCGGAAGAGCAAAATGACCAACAGAAGTAGTGCTTTGGGGAGCCATGGAAATGATGATGGAAATGAAAAGGGACTGGCAGCGAGGCCCTCCCAACCAGTTTTATTTACATCATTAAGTGCTACACTCTAAGAAAACCCTGAGACACCTTCTTTGAGATGTCCACCCTATCTTGGGGGCATGTTAGTCCCGTGGCTCATGGCCAAAGCATGCAGGAGATGAAAATTCTGACAAAGTCACTTAGAAGTTCATTTTTGTACCCAGATAAACACAAAGTGAAAACAAAGTTTTAAGGTATACGACATTCTCCACAGAATACTTCAATGTCAAGTTGAATCCAGCAAGTTCCAGACCAAAGAAAATATTCAAAGGGTCTTTTCCTATAACTGACCCTTTTAGCACAGTTTGCATGGCACTGTTCTTCAAGTTGAGTTCTCCGAAGCAGAAGGGAAACCATGAATGATAGGTATCCAGGTCTTCAGTTGGCAAATAAAAAGGGTCAGGATGTGAGTTCAGTCTTTTCTAAGCCACAAGAAGGCTCTAAATCAAAGTACCTCTTGTATAAAAGGCCGGAGCTAACTGGTGCACTGTACTCTCCAATCTCCAGGGAGTCCTGACTGCCCTGACACATTCAGAGTATCTATCAATACCAAAGATGCTAAGAGGGAGGACGGCATCAGCCAGGTGAGCCGGGTGAGTGCTCTAGGAAAGGGAAAACTCTCATAAAGAGCCCTGTGAGAACTTGCAGGTCCCACATCAGTGCTGTGGCTGCCCTCACTCCTGTTTTTGGCAGCTTCGGCCGCATAGCACAGGGAGATCAGCTCGGTGCTTTGTGACCACCTAGAGGGGTGGGATAGGGAGGGTGGGAGGGAGGGAGACGCAAGAGGGAAGAGATATGGGAACATATGTATATGTATAACTGATACACTTTGTTATAAGGCAGAAACTAACACACCATTGTAAAGCAATTATACTCCAATAAAGATGTTAAAAAAACCCCAAAAAGGCGATCATCAAACCGGGAGCAGGAAAAGGCAAAAGAAAGCAACAATTCCACTGAAGTGGCCTATGAGAAAACTTGGTACCCAAAGCAATGGCTTTTACTCAGAGGGAACTATGGCCTAACTCTGTAACTGTGGAGTCAAAATGACTTAGATTTCCAGTCAAGAGAGGGCCCAGGTCTACTGCCTCATACACTGGTGTTACCACCTGGGAAGGAGACCTGGGTAACAGGCAGGTAGGAACAAGGCAATAGCCCTCTACACGTAGAATGGGGAGCAAAAGGACTTGGGATTAAAAGTCACACTTTAATTCAAGTATCAATTATACCATTCACTGATAGTGATCTATTATTGGCTTTATTACCCCTTAAAGTTATTTTCCAAAGCCTCCCAAAGCCATCTCAGTTGCGGGGTGCTTCTAGAAATAGGAATCCAGGAATCTATTTCAAACTGTGAAGCTGGTGTCTAAATCTTCATACAAACCCTTTCTTTGGGTTTAGGTTTCTTCTTTATAACTGCTACTGCTAAAATCATTTATGGAGGACTACTATGGGCCAGGCACTGTGCTTATAAATATGTATTTGTAATACAGAATATAAAACTAGACATGAATATATATCTATAAAACTAAAGTAATAGGGATAAATTACGTGACATCAGTCAAGAGTTATCTTGCAGAAATGCTGCGGTCAGAAGTTAACCATACAGCAGAGACAGAGACAGAGGCTAAGAGCTGGAGCAGAGACAGCATCTGCTGCCCTAGTTAGTGAGCAGAACGCAGCTTTCCAATTTAATTCTGGAAGAGAAGTTTTGAGATCACAAGAACATAAAGAGACAGATGCCTTGCGGAGTACGCTGGGGGAAGTGAGCAGAAAACATGGGATCATATTTAAAAGAGGCCAGAGGAGGAAAGAGACCAAAGGAAAAATGAAAGTAAAGATTTGGTGGTACAGATGTCTTAAAAAAAAAAAAAATAAGACAAGGCCTGCCTAAGGGTTAGGCTGCCATCAACAAGCTTCATGAAACTGCCTAAAGAATGAGCTGAATTTTCTGTCAAACGGATTTGAAACGGCTAGGAACTAAACCTTGATAAGTCAGGGTTATAGTTTTTTGCCAAGGAGAATATACTCCAACTGACACCCAGCCTCTGGTTGATAAGCAGTAAGCTACCATTGCTAAAAATAAAGGAATTCATTTTTTAAAAATATTTATTTATTTGGCTGCACTGGGTCTTAGTTGCAGCACAGGGGATCTTTTAGTTGTGGCATGCAAATTCTTAGTTGTGGCATTTGGGATCTAGTTCCCTGACCAGGGATCAAACCCAGGCCCCCTGCACTGGGAGCACCGAGTCTTAGCCACTGGACCACCAGGGAAGTCCCAAGGAATTCGTTTTCTTTTTCATTCAATAAATTTATTTATTTTTGGCTGCATTGGGTCTTTGTTGCTGCATGCGGGCTTTCTCTAGTTGCGGCGAGCGGGGGCTTCTCTTTGTTGCGGTGCACGGGCTTCTCATTGCGGTGGCTTATCTTGTTGCGGAGCACGGGCTCTAGGCGTGCAGGCTTCAGTAGTTGTGGCACATGGGCTCAGTAGTTGTGGCTTGCGGGGTCTAGAGCGCAGGCTCTGTACTTGTGGCTCACGGGCCTAGCCGCTCCGCTGCATGTGGGATCTTCCCGGACCGGGGCTCGCACCCACGTCCCCTGCATCGGCAGGCGGACTCTCAACCACTGCGCCACCAGGGA